GTTTATGCAAATCAATAAATGTTTTTCTTGAGTATGGAGACTAACTCCTCCTTCCGACTTCTGTCATGAAGGTGTCCAACTTGGTGGTGTGGAATTCCTGGGGACCAATATGAACCTAATGTAGATCTTTTGTCGGCGTCAATCTCTCATTCGGGCTTTAATTAGGGATCTAAATATAAATAAACTCCACCCCATATACATCTGGATGTGGTGCAACGACTACGAACATCACCGCACTTACGACCCTCAAACTATCTTGGTAACATTTCTGGGTGGTCTCTTAATCAGCTTGAACTTTTCAAACTCGCACGTTAGGTAGCGCGTACTTCATTCTTAGATACAAGGTTGATAAGACGACCCTTAAGTGGTTAAAGGCAGGTTGTCCGATGTTTATGTTGTATGAATATGGGGCATTTACTACGAGATACCTGATCTTGATAGTCTACGTGGTCACCTTCAGTCCAAATTTTGTCTTGAGAGTGATGTAGCCTTTCACCTATACATATTCCCCAACAAAATTGACTAACAAACCTTGGAATGTTTGAAGGTCGTATGGGTCTAACTTGAGCCTTTTGAATGCGTTCTACTAGAGGACATGTGTTAAACTTTCATTCAACACATTGCATCATTATGACCATGAGGTCATTTTCGTGAGGATGGATCCTGGCAACGCCTTTGTTTGAGAAAATGATCTTAGGCTCCAAATCCTTTCCTAAATCTGATTTATGACTGACAGGTGAACCTTTTGTTGAAAAGTATTTTAGATGGGTTGTTTTATCGTATCCACAGGGATTGTTCAGATATCTTGATGCTTATCGTTCAATAGTCTAACGTTTTAAGAGAAAGGCTTTTAAAGAATTCTTGTTTTGTAACATAAGTTTTGTAGCAAAGAGTAAACTAGAGAATTGATGTTTTGTTTTTAAGAAAATCATGTCAAGATTAGATCTCGTTAACCCCTTTCATACGTATCCGATTAATCAAGCATGTGAACTTAGTTTTGATCAATACAATCACGTATCCTCATGAATTCGTTTATTTCTAAAGCGGCTCTGTGGGTATTATTGTTTTAATCGCTAGATGATTTCTCGAAATAGCAATCGAAACAATAAACATAAATATCAATACAAAGAAAATATTAACTTTCAAATCTATGTCTAGAGTTTGTTGGTTAATAGATGAAGAAATTAGATCAAGATTTGGAAAATCTATGTCTAGAGTGATTCAAACCATAAATACAATATTAAAAGCAAAGATCTTCATAAACTATTGATCATAACCGTGTTCACATACAAAACATAATAGCAAGGTTAATTACCTCTAATCTTGACACAAAAGTGTTTAGCTACTCATCTCCAAGGTAGCTTAATCAACAAGTAAAAAAGAAAGCTTTGATATCATCAAAGTCGAAGAATCGATGATTGATGCTCCAAATATTTGATTCTCTCTTCTCCTTGAGTTTCTAAGCTTTTTTGACATAAAAACACCTTATAATATCTAAAATATCTGAAAAAGTAAAGTTGATGAAAATATCTTTTAAGGGAGATATTTATAGAAAGTGGGAAAAGTAGCCGTAAGTGGCACCGCGCTAAGCGCCATCAGGAGCGCGCTAAGCGCGATCAGCAAAATAGAGGCAGGAATCCAGAAAGCGTGCTAAGCGCGGTTTACCGACACGATCGCCTCGAAGATGATCTTTTAGGCATTCTTTCCTTCACCATAGGTTCCTATCATCATATATCAGTAAGAAGACCTGTCAAAAAACATCAAAATGATCATAATTCACAATATTTACGATAAAATCAAAAACTTGCAAATTTACACAAAAACTAATAGGTTTACTCCTAAAATATTAAGGAAACCATTGGAAAGGGTCACAAAGTAACATCAAATATTTGCACAAATTGACCCTTAACAACTTTCACTATCATAACTTGTCTGGTGTATCTTCTGTAAGAAAAGTTATACTCGCCACCTCTAGCAAATCCTCCAACTATGGTATTGAGGGTATCGTTAAATGATATGTATTCCTCTTTCCTTTCTCTCTCCTTGACTTTTTTGGATATGGAGTTTTCATATGAATTTTCCCTTTGAGCTTGGAACCTACCTCCTGATTGGTGAGAACCTCCTCTAACATACTTTTTCATATGTCATTTTTAGATGAGTCGCTCAATCTCTCTATTGATCTAATAACACTCTTCAATGGTCCTACTCAACCGGACGGAGGACTCAGGGTGACACCCACCCAATTCTCACTTGACTTTTCAAATTGCCTCTCCTCAAAACCTATAGAATTCTTGCCTTTAGACCCAATAAGATTTTCCAGTCCACTTAAAACTTAATATTAGTGTGCATTAAATTAAATGATGACAATTTAAAAAAATAAAAATAAAAATAAAAAATTTCCCAAGACAAATTCTTTGATCCTCTCCACAGCTTTTAAAATTACATATATTTACGTTTTACGTGATTAAGAAAGTTAATCATATTTTATATTAAAAAAATATTAATTGTTTTTAACTAAATAGAGTAATAGTTATTTTTCCGTAATTTTAGAAATAAACAACTTTATTGCCGTAGCCAGCACGGTCCCGTCTCTCGCTCAAACAGCCACAACTCACAATCTAATGATAAATACAAGTCAACCCATTTTCTATTACCTGCACACTCCACCATTTTCATCTGTTTCTATGTTAAAGTGTCTTCAACACTCAACCCATAACAATTCTTCATCCATAGACAAATATGAAAACAGAGACACTGACATTGGTGCTGGTGAATCTAGCGAGTATCATGGAGAGAGCCGATGAATCATTGTTGCCAGGAGTATACAAAGAGGTCGGCGCTGCTCTCAACGCTGACCCCACCGCGTTAGGCTCTCTCACTCTTTTCCGATCCCTTGTTCAATCTCTGTGTTACCCTCTCGCCGCTTATCTCGCCACGCGTCACAATCGTGCTCATGTTATTGCTCTCGGGGCTTTTCTTTGGGCCGCCGCTACATTCCTTGTTGCCATTTCATCTACCTTCTTACAGGTCCCCACTTCTATTTCTGTTTTATCTTTTCTTCTTTTGTTAATTAGTTCTTCTTATTGTTCTCAGTTTTTTAACTCCCACTTGTTGCTTTACATGGATTATTAGGTAGCAATTTCCAGAGGTTTAAATGGGATTGGACTTGCCATTGTTACTCCAGCAATTCAGTCCCTGGTTGCTGACTCCACTGTCGACAGCAACCGCGGTGTGGCTTTTGGCTGGCTGCAACTAACAGGAAACCTTGGAAGTATCATTGGTGGTCTCTTCGCTATCATTATAGCCTCAACATCATTTGCAGGGATACCTGGTTGGAGAATAGCTTTTCATCTGGTTGCATTGATTAGTATCATAGTCGGTATATTAGTACGCATCTTCGCTGACGATCCACATTTTCCTAAGAATGAAGGCATATCTACATCATATCAAACTCCAAGAAAGTCCTTTTATTGTGAAATGAAAGATTTAATAAAAGAAGCGAAATCAGTTATAAAAATTCCGTCATTTCAAATACTTGTGGCTCAGGGAGTCTCTGGATCATTCCCATGGTCTGCTTTGTCATTTGCCACTCTTTGGCTAGAACTGATAGGCTTTTCCCACATGACAACAGCATTGCTTTGGTCCCTATTTATAGTCGCGGTTTCGTTTGGGGGTCTGTTTGGAGGATGGATGGGGGATTTTTTGTCCCAAAGGTTTCCGAATTCTGGAAGAATAATGTTGTCACAAATAAGCTCGGGTTCCGCCGTTCCTCTAGCAGCAATTTTGTTGTTGGCATTGCCCGATGATCCATCCACAGCTGTCGTGCACGGTCTTGTTCTATTTGTCATGGGATTATGCATATCGTGGAACGGTGCAGCAACTAACAAGTATGTATCAGACAAATGATCTTGTTAATTTTTTTTTGTTTTTTTTAAAGGAAATTTTCTTTTGTTTTGGAATTCCTATGATTCATCATTGGTCATATCTGCATTTCATTCAGTTTTCTTTGACATTTAACTGTGTGGGCAGTCCAATATTTGCAGAAATAGTACCGGAGAAGTCACGGACGGCTATATATGCTTTGGATCGATCTTTCGAGTCTATACTGGCATCCTTTGCTCCACCTGTTGTTGGAATTTTGGCTCAGCATGTTTATGGTTATAAACCAATTCCTAAAGGATCCTCAGACTCTGTTGAAATTGAAACGGATAGGGAAAATGCTGCATCACTTGCCAAGGCACTTTATACTGCAATTGGTATTCCTATTGCAATTTGTTGCGTCATCTACTCATTCCTTTATTGCACATACCCGAGGGACAGGGAGCGAGCACGAATGGTTGCATTAGAAGAATCCGAAATGCACCAGTTAGAGGCGGAAGAATCCACAAGTGAAGAATATCGTGAAATTAATGTTTCAGAATCAAATGTGATGAATGGTAAAGAAAGTAGCAAGACTGTTCAAAGAAATTATCCAAGGCAAGAGAGCATTGACTTGGATGACAATGATGAGAAAGTTTTGCTGTCCCGGTAGTATTAAACAGTTAAGCTTCATCAAGCTCATTTGAAAATCAAGTTATTTGATGTATACAATATGAATGGAAAAGCTTGTATAGTTTTTTTGTTACTGATTTTTATTTGACTCCTTCAGCTACAAATAATAAAAACAGAAGATGAATATAGGAAAATAATAAAATCTTTGGACCACTTGTAATGGGGTTTACATTAGAACATCAACTTGTTATTATTTTATTCACAAACTTGTTTGTTTTTTTATATAATTATAATTATATTAACATAACACACATCAACACAAATGCACATGGGTTAGCAGGATTTTTATATATACAAAGGGGACAACACATATTGAGGCAACAAAAACAATTACAGTTGACCATCCATGGCCATCTGAAGTTCACTCTCCAATATGCAGCAGTTTCCCTTTGTTACCACCACCCTTTCCACTTAACATACATAGTGGTAACATTTATAGGAAGATCAAGATGAAGGCCGAGACGTTGACACTGGTGCTGGTGAATCTGGCTGGTATTATGCAGAGAGCTGATGAGTCATTACTGCCAGGAGTATACAAAGAGGTTGGTGCTGAACTCAATGCTGACCCAACTGCGTTAGGTTCACTTACTCTTTTCCGATCTCTTGTTCAATCACTGTGTTACCCTCTCGCTGCTTACCTCGCCACGCGTCACAATCGTGCACATGTGATTGCTCTCGGTGCTTTTCTTTGGGCTGCTGCCACTTTCCTCGTCGCCATCTCCTCCACCTTCTTACAGGTTCTTGCCTCTCCTTTCAAAGTTACCTTTGTTTTTTCGTTATAGACATAATACATGAATAGTGTGATCTATTTGTTCTCTTTCTTTGGTAATTAGATCTTCGCCTACAGTCCTTCGAGTTTATAATATGATAATCTCCATTCATATTATAATTATAGTTTGGCATAAACATGATTAATTCGTGTTTTCTAATTCTACTTACTGATAACATGGAAGGATCATTAGGTGGCAATTTCAAGAGGTTTAAATGGCATCGGACTCGCCATTGTAATTCCGGCAATCCAGTCTCTAGTTGCAGACTCCACAATTGATAGCAACCGTGGCGTGGCTTTTGGGTGGCTGCAACTAACAGGAAACCTCGGAAGCATTATTGGCGGTCTCTTCTCAGTACTACTAGCCTCAACATCAATCTTAGGCATATCTGGTTGGAGAATAGCTTTTCATCTGGTTGCATTGATTAGTGTCATAGTTGGTATATTAGTACGCATCTATGCTAATGATCCACACTTTCCAAACAACGTCGACAAACCTACATCATATCAAACTCCAAAACAGCCCTTTTATTCTGAAATGAAAGATCTAATAAAAGAAGCTAAGTCTGTTATAAAGATTCCATCATTTCAGATAATTGTGGCTCAGGGAGTATTCGGATCATTCCCGTGGTCAGGTTTGTCATTTGCCACTCTTTGGTTAGAGCTAATAGGCTTCTCACATGGTACAACAGCAATTCTTTGGACCTTATTCATAATTTCTGCTTCATTGGGGGCTCTGTTTGGAGGATGGTTTGGAGATTTTTTATCCCTACGGTTACCAAACACCGGAAGAATAATGTTGTCGCAAATAAGTGCTGGTTCAGCCGTTCCTCTAGCTGCAATTTTGCTGCTGGCACTGCCTGATGATCCATCCACAGCCTTCATGCATGGCCTTGTTTTAGTCATCATGGGATTCGCTACGGCATGGAATGCTCCAGCAACTAACAAGTATGTTGTGTGACATTTAGCATTTTTCTAACTTTATATAGTGATTCATTTCAAACTAACAACTGCATGGACGGACAGTCCGATATTTGCAGAAATAGTTCCTGAGAAGTCGCGCACAGCTATATATGCTTTGGATCAATCTTTTGAGTCTATATTGCAGTCATTTGCTCCTCCTTTTGTTGGATTATTGGCTCAACATGTTTTTGGTTATAAACCAGTTCCAAAAGGATCCTCTGATTCCGTCGAAATCGAAACAGACAGGAAAAATGCAGCGTCACTCGCAAAGGCACTCTGTATTGTTTTTGTAATTCCTTTGACACTTTGTGTCTGCATCTACTCATTCCTTTACTGCTCGTACCCGAGAGACAGAGACCGGGCGAGGATGGTCGCATTAGAGGACTCAGAAATGCAACAACTAGAGGTAGAAGACTGCACAAGAGAAAGAGAAGAATATTGTGGAATCCATGTTTTAGAATCAAATGAACTGAATGATAAAGAAAGTAGCAAGATTGATGATATAGATTACCCAAGGGAAGAGAACATAGACTTAGATGATAATGATGAGAAAGTTTTGTTGTCCAGGTAGTTTATATTTGCAAGGAATTGTGGAGCCTTATTTAACAATTCAAGCCAGTTGATTCGGTGTTGGGATCCTCTACATTTCTCAAACGAAATGCAGGGTTCGATTTAGATAGGAAAAGAAAATTTTTCATGCTATGGTTTTTTAGATTCTTTTTTAGATAATGGATCTCACTATCAAGTGGATTTCACCACCATGATTAATTGTGTGTTTCAAATTTTTATACTTATTGAGTTTATATTATTTCATCTACAATAATTCACAAAACCTAGTTCTATAGCTCTTAAGTTTGTTTCAACATTTGCTTATCTTAAATATCATTGTCATTTCATGCATTTAATGCATACACCCATTTAGAAAGTTTGTCCTTTTTAAATTTAAAATCCCATATAATCATTAATAAGCTCTCTCTCGGACTTAAAATAAATGTTGTTTAAGGTTTTTACACACAGATTAAAAAATATAATAATATTATCTTAAAAAATTATACTTTTATTAAATTAATTTTATTAATGTATTAGAAATAGCATACAGAATAATAATTATATGACTCAATCGAAAAAATAATAATTATTACCACATTAAAAATTGAGAATGATACTCACTTTAAAACAATTTTTTTTCTACAATTATTTTAAAATGGAATAGTTCTCTATTCTTAGTGAACTTTTTAAAGTTTAAGTTCTTGCGTCATTCATCTCTACTACAAAGAAAATGTCTCTGATATTCTTTTCCTTCATCTACGGATCACTTAAATTTTAAGAGTCTCTATGTAGTGTAGGTTAATTAAATGTCAAATGAGACAAAATTAGTAATGTACTTAATCAAATGTCAAATGAGACAAAATTAGTAAGAATTTTGTATTAGTTACTATTTAACTGTGACAAATATTTAATAACTCTCTATTTATTTTACTGTTTAATCATTATAAAGATTGAAGTTTTTGTGATAGTCTATTTTGTAAGTTGTTAAAAACGATGATGCCTGTTCTAAATCTTTATTATAGTTTTTCTCTCACGGTTTCAAATATTTTTCCTGAGTAACCTGAAACTTCAAAAAAATGTTTTTTTTCCATATATTTTACAATTAATACATTTTAAACGACAAATAGATTTTTTTTTAAAAATTGATGCAAAATATGACAGATTTTTTAGCAGATAGGCACCCTATATGTGCCTCCCGTCCCTCCACCCATGTTCACCTCCCTACTTCTTCGAATTTAGTTGATGTGGCATCGATCAAGTTTTTCAAATTCTTCTCATAAATATTAATGTAATTCATATTTATATATTTGTTTCAATTCTTGAACACCTTTTGTAGTTCACCTATTCTTCTATTTTTATATTCTCATCTTTGTATATTGTTTATCGTTGATTCCAATAAAAATTAAATTGATCATTATTTTTTCTGCTAATTTTCTAGACATGAAGTGAAGAGAGGGTTGATTGAATTTTTCAGTGTATTTTTTTTTTGACGAACATGCCCTTATTTAGTTATGTATTGATATCCTCCAACAATTATATATATAATATTTTTTATATATTTTATTTAAAAATAAATTAATATTTTAAATTAATTTTCTTTAAAGTACCGATACTACTTATTATAGGTATTTGAAAATTTACTTTTGGGTTGATGTTACAACAATAAAGAAATAAAAGAGATGATTTCAAAGTCAATTCGTATGAGAACTGGATTTTAAATATAATCTAAATTCAAAATAGTTTTAGAAGACTTTTGAACCGAATAAGTTAATACATATTGTGAATTTTATTGTGAATTATGACAAAATTCAATATCAATTTGTGAGATAAAAGTTGTTACAAGAGATTATAGATGAGTTACAAGAAAATAGTCTGCCCCTAAGAACAACCCTATTTTCTACATTGTTACAAGAGATTATAGATGAGTTACAAGAAAATAGTCTGCCCCTAAGAACAACCCTATTTTCTACATTGTTACAAGAGATTATAGATGAGTTATAAGAAAATAGTCGCCTTTAACTGAAGGCGCCCAAGAACAACCCTGTTTTCTACAGTGTTTCAGTGTTTCCGTGTAATTCTGTGTAATCCAAGATTTTCTTTGTGCATACCTGAAATCCTATACTATACATTTAAATCTTTGGTCTCCCTTATTGGTGAAAACTCTAAGATTGTCACACACCAAACATATAAGAAATACATATTTATAATAGCAAATACCCAACAAACAAATCCCAAAATCACATGAATCCATGGACCGAATCGAAAAAACCCGAAAACTCAAAAACGCTATTCATCATACGGACACACTATTCATCCGTACGAATAGTACTATTCACCGAACGATTTTTTTCCTGACTTTTCGACCGACTTTCTAAAACTTTCGATTTTCGCGGTAAATGCAATCTCCAAATTATTTTTTTTTCTCTTCATCAACAAAGGTTTTAAGGCACATTTACAACAATGTCCATCTTGACTTTAAACCGTGTTGATATCAATCAACAACATTGCTGCTCTCTACCAAGTTGAAATTTTAATCAATAATTTTGATCAAAAATTCAAGCGACCCTTGAATCTTGATCTCGCAACTTGCATCCACTTGTTCCCAATTACCCTTTTCTGCCTAGGTAATTTAACAAGCCAACAAGTATGATTTTTCAACTGCCTTTGACTCCATCTGTTTTCAAATGCCTCCCTGAAGGTTTTTCTTCTTTTATTTTGCAGTCCTTCAGCCACATTAAAAACATAATATCCAAGGCTAGCATGATCGTTCCTTTGAGATGCTACAATAACACTCCTTACCTTATCATGAGTCAAATGATAATCAAAGATCTATGTAACCGTTCTCTCACTACTGCTAGCACCCATAGTAGGAAACTCCACCTCAAATCGAGTTTTCTCCGTTATAGTTTCTCCCTTGATTTTCACTATTCTTCTTTTGAAGAAATTCTCTATCAACCAAGTAAGTTGTTTTAACCTTAACTCTTCCCTAAAAACTCAATAACAACTCAGCGGTAACATGCATTTTTATCCCTCAATTTCTGCAAAATTCATTGTACTCCTCTGAAACTTTCTCAAGGCATTCATAACGCCTTAAACTCAAATCCCATAGCTCTTCCTTGTCATGAAACCTCCACTAGTTAACGATGAATAAATAATAACATTTGAACCTTCTAAAATATATAGACCACGTATTTTAGACCATTTAGCAATAATCAATTCATTACGCAAAATCTTCAACACTCCATGTTCAACTCTAGTACAATAGCCTAGATCATCAAACATACTTATAGATAACAAGTTTCGCTTGAGTTTTGGAACATACCTCACATTGTGAATAAGAAATTCACGATCATTAAATATTTTAAATCTGAATGTACCAATACCATGAACCTTACATGCCTTATTATTACCAAGGTGAATTGCTCCATCTTGCACCATCTTCAAAGTTTCAAAGTATTCTATTCTTGGATACATGTGATAAAAACAACCTGATTCAATGACCCAACTATCTTCAGTTTCCAAACTCGATAATACTAGTGCTTCGACATCCTCATAACTTTCCTCACCCAGTGCAACTACAGCTGAACAAAATCTTCATTGACCTTTCTTTAAGGACAATCCCTTTTAAAGTGACCGATTTTCTAACAATTAAAACATTTCACCTTTGACTTGTCAGACCTCTTTGATTTGGACATCCCTTTCCGCTCACCTCCTCCTCTTGACACATTTAAGTCTTCACTACTATCTTCAATCTTCAAATCTTTCGACTTTGAATTTTTTTTGGATTTCATCGCCGTCTGGACTTCATCAAAACTAATAGTACCTTCCTTACCATAAAGAAGGGAATCTTTAAAATGCTCAAAGAGTTTGGGTAATGAACTCGACAGGAGCAAAGCCTTGTCCTCATCATTAATCTTCACTTCAATATTCTCAAGATCATCGATAATCTTGTGAAATTCTGTGAGCTGCTCAACTATGGATTTGTTCTCCACCATTCGGAATGAATAAAGTTATTGTTTCATATATTACCTGTGAGGCAAAGACTTTGCCATATACAATGATTCAAGTTTTTCCCACATAGCAACTACAGTTTGCTCCTTGGCGACTTCTCTTAGAACTTTATCCCCGAGGCACAAGATAATGGCACTCCTGGCCTTATCCACCATCTCGATCTTCTGTACATGTGTAAGCCCTGCACACATCAATGCTTCACTCTTCAAAGGCAACACCAAGTTATCAATATATGACTTGGTTTAGGTCGGTTACAACATCTCAGCCAATTCTGTCGGAGCCAACCTATTTGATTGACCCAAGGCAACACGCTTCTTCATCAAACACACAACAACAATCTAATGCCTAACATCAGCCTTACCATAACCCATACATGTCACCAAATGCCCAACATCAACAACAATATCCTTACCATGACCCGTACATGCCACCCACCCAGTCACAGCATCAACCACCATACCAATATAGCCCTGATACGTCTTTTGACCCTACCTCATCCACCTATAGCCCATATAACTCATTTGACCCTACCCCCTTGATCCGCGGTCGCTCGCGGATCAAAAACGAGTTTGTGGTAAGAAATGTTAGTATAGCGACAGTGACTCGAAATATCGTTTTCAAGGATTCTTGTAACGAAATAACCAATTACAGTAATAAATTATGGGGGGGGGGGGGGTTGGTTTGATGTAGGTTTCCGATTAAGAAGAAAAAGTACTTAAAATAATTGATTATTAAAATAAGTTGTTGTGAAATCAGTGATTAAAGTAACAGATCCACTGCCTCGGTTCTTACTAATCATCGACCGATGAAAATACAATTTCCCAAGCGGGAATTCTATCCTATTTGATGAAAAATCAGTCAACAAGCGTGGTTGATTTTATGAGAACATGTTCCTATGGCTGGATTAAGCATACGGTAAATGATAGAGCAAATTAACAATTAAGCAGAGTTAATCTACGATTAAAATTGGGAACACAGATCAATCAAATTGAATCAATTACACTATATGATAATTGAATTAGGCAAACAACAATCACATGATATAATTGAAAGGAATAGAAATTAAACTGTAATTATCATAACAATCTCAAAGTTTGAACCTGAGTACAGTGAATCCGTCCAAGGAGAATTAGTTCTCCATGCGTTTACAAGCTTTCCCAATAGTTTTTTTTCGTGAATTGTAAAAATTGTTGGCTGTACGGCCAGACCTAGACTAAAGAGGATAAAAACCAGAATTCGGGTCATAACCCAACTGGGTCGAAAATATAACCCAGACCCAAAACATGACCCAAAACTAAAACAAATTCCTAATGCTGTAACTTGAAACGGAATTCTGGAATTTTGAGCTCCGAATTTGATTTCGGCTCCAACATGAAAGTCGTAGCTCTCTCTCTTAGCTTTCCGGCGATTTTTAGAACGCCTCAAACGGATTCCCGGAGCTCCAGTTATGATCGTTTCCGTGCAGACTGTTAAAGCTGAAAAATAAGTGCGAAAATTAAATTAAACCAAAAATAAAATAAAATGTGAAAACATAATAAATATAATAATAAGCAAAATAAAGTAAAGAAATGCCTAAGTAAAAATATAGGAGAATGTGCATAAATATGCACTGATCACCCCTCCAACTATCCACTGTTTGACTACCAAACCCCACAACAACCAACACACCATTTCCAACCCAATTCGATGTACGAATTCGGACAACCATGTCGTCCATATTTCACCCAACCTCCCCGACAATCCTACGAAAACATGGGCATTGGGCTTAACTACGGAAGCGCCGCTTATAGTGGACCTCCCGACTATTGGGGTCAAATGCTTCAAAATTTATCTGATACGCCGTGGCCGTCCCAACAAAACCCTCATCCACAACTCAACACACAAAGACCGGACACACCACAACAACCTCGTCGCAACGCGCATCCTCCACAATGTGGCACCGGTGGTCGCTTGGATAGAGTCGACCATTAGTTTTTTTTTGTTCAATTGTAATTTTCATTATATTGTAAATTAATATATTTTAATATTTATTACATGTCTATATTTTTTTAATGTTATTTAAATTTCAATTAATTATGAAAAACATAAATTATAATTTAGTATTTATTCCATTTTTTTTTATTATTTACATTTTAATTAATTATGAAAAACAGAAAACATAATGTAATATTTATTTATTTATTTTTTAACGTTATTTAAAATTTAATTAATTATGAAAACTAAAAAACATAAATTATTTAAAATTTAATTTGTATAAATATTTTAATCAAACCTATTCATATATATATATATATATATATATATATATATATATATATATATATATATATATATATTTAAATAATTTAAATTTAATTTAATTATTTTTTTTATTATTTAAATTGAAAATCAATTTGTAAACCCTAAAACAAAAAAGAATAAAAAAATAATTGGGTCAAATAGCCAAACGGAATGGCGACTCTCTTGGGCCACATAGACTCTGTCGTCAATTCATTTGACGAATCCAATTAGTATAGCCTGAGTCGCCAATTGAAGTGACTATTCAAGGTTGAATTGTGACAATTTTAATATATTTTTTAAAATTTTAATTTATTTGATATTTTTGTTGAAAAACATAGTTATATTAAAAAAAAAATCTCTTTTTACATTAACATTTATGATTAACGGAGAGCATTAATGTATTTCAATTAATTTAATAGATGTATTTCAATTAAATTCAATAGAGTAAACCACCAATTAAATTTTTAAAATTGTAATTGTTGTATCAAATTTCTCTCTCAAATTGTCAAAAGTCACCCAAACTACTCACTCCTTCCCGTTTTTACAGTCAAATTAAAATACAAAATGAGAGCGCAATAGCGTGTGAATCACATGATATGGAAATTGAAAAATATCTCATTTGTAGAAGGTCTAAAGTCAAAACTGTTTGAAATTTGAAATGTTTTGAACCACACACACTCATACAATGTCTTTAACAATCAATAATGCAGCTTCTTTCCAAAACGTTCTTATAGTCATGCCCATACCAATCCAAGTCAACCCCGAAACACCATTTGGGTCTACAACTCTATACACATAGGAGATTCATTTTCTATATCACACTTATCCATCATTCATAGAAACCAAATTGTAAAGATGAAACCAGAAACACTCACACTGGTGCTCGTGAATCTAGCAGGCATCATGGAGAGAGCCGACACATCATTACTACCAGGAGTATACAAAGAGATCGGCGCTGCTCTCAACGCCGACCCCACTGCGTTAGGCTCTCTCACTCTCTACCGATCCCTCGTTCAGTCCTTCTGTTATCCTCTAGCCGCTTACCTCGCTACGCGCCACAATCGTGCACATGTTATTGCTCTCGGTGCTTTTCTTTGGGCTGTTGCTACATTCTTCGTCGCAATCTCTTCCACCTTCTTGCAGGCACTCATTTTCTCTTTTCTTCATAATGAAAAATGAAAATTTTTTGATATGTAGTATAGTATATAACTTTGTTGCATGATATATAGGTGGCGATTTCAAGAGGTTTAAATGGCATAGGACTTGCCATTGTTATTCCAGCAATTCAGTCTCTAATTGCAGACTCCACCATTGATAGCAACCGCGGCACGGCTTTTGGATGGCTCCAACTAACCGGAAACCTTGGAAGCATCATTGGTAATCTCTTCGCGATACTACTAGCCTCAACATCATTCTTTGGCATACCTGGTTGGAGAATAGCTTTTCATATTGTTGCATTGGTGAGTGTCGTAGTTGGTATATTAGTTCGTGTCTTTGCTAATGATCCACACTTCCCAAACAACAGCACAAAACCCACATCATATCAAATTCCAAACAAGTCCTTTATTTCTGAGGTGAAAGATTTAATAAAAGAAGCAAAGTCTGTTATAAAAGTTCCATCTTTTCAGATAATTGTAGCTCAGGGAGTATTCGGATCATTCCGGGGGTCGAGTTTGTCGTTTTTCACTCTTTGGTTAGAACTAGTAGGCTTCTCACATGGTACAACAGCAGTTATTTGGACAGTATTTATAATTTCTGCTTCATTTGGGGGTCTGTTTGGAGGATGGCTTGGAGATTTTTTATCTCAACGGTTACCAAACACTGGAAGAATAATGTTGGCGCAAATAAGCGCAGGTTCGACAATTCCCTTAACTGCGATTTTGTTGTTATTATTGCCTAATGATCCGTCCACGCCATTCATTCATGGTTTTGTTTTGGTCATCATGGGAATAATCACATTCTGGTGTGCACCAGCAACAAATGATCCGATATTTGCAGAAATAGTACCTGAGAAATCGCGAACGGCGATATATGCTTTGGATCGATCTTTTGAGTGTATATTGGCGTCTTTTGCTCCGCCTATTGTTGGAGTTTTGGCTCAACATGTCTATGGTTATAAACCAGTGCCGAAAGGTTCATCGGATTCTGTTGAAATTGAAACTGATAGAGAAAATGCTGCATCACTTGGTAAGGCGCTTTATAGTACAATTGCAATTCCTATTGCAATATGTGTTATCATTTATTCATTTCTATATTTCACGTACCCGATGGATAGGGAGAGAGCAAGAATGGTTGCATTAGTTGAATCAGAAATGGATCAGCTAAAGATGGAACATGAAACTGGAGAAGACTATTCTGAAACACATGTTCTGGAGGATAATGATGAGAAAGTTTTGCTGTCCGTAGTACATTAGTTTTTATTGTTTTATATAGCACTATGTAACGCAAAGGTGAACAATTTATACCCTAAAATTTATGAAATACTTAAGCGTATTCTAAGAGTGAATGAGTAAACATTCATAGTCAAACAAAGAATTTCAACATTTTAAAGTGTATATGGTATTTAAATTACTTCCTATGTTCATTTAGAATGTTTATTTAAATTTAAACCAATAAGAACAACATTGTTAAAACTAGTTAATTTTAGAGGTTTTTTTAATACATCCTATATATTATTTAGATACCATGTAAAAATACTAAAATGTTATTAAATTTTGATGATGCAAAATACATCAAATACATGTGTAAGAGAATTACACCCTTAATTTGTAAAAAAATAGTTTGGAGATACATTTTTGAAATTTTTATCCATGTAAGAGTAATTATTGGTCAGAGTGAGAAGAAAGTAGAAGAAATGGTAATGAAACACCATAACATTTTACGGAGATATATTTTCAGACATTTTTTTAGACAAAATAAAGATATCTCACATGCAACGTCTTTGTTTGTGTGATTTTAGATCCGTCCAAAGATGCATCTCCGAAATTTGAAAGACATTTTTGAATTTTTATACGTTGTTTTTCAACCTCATAGGATGCAGTTTGAAATCCCCTAATTTTATGTTTTTTTCGGGCCTTTATTATTTCATAGTTAATTTTATGTTTAGGGGATTTCTATTCTCACTCTATGTGGTGGAAAAGGACTCTACGAATATTTAAGATTGTCCCTCAGATTTTAGAGATACATCTCTAAATGCACATGCAAAATACATCAAATATATGCGTAGGTGAATTACACATTTATTTTGTAATAAAAATATTCCGAAAATAAATTTTCTGATATTTTTGAAAATTTTGAGTCAGGTTGCTTTGCTAAGATACGTATTAAACTGCCTATGTGCATCTTACTCTCAAATTTTCTAAAAATGTATTTTTCGGATTCTTGAAATATATTTTTGGACTAATTTTTTTACAAAATAAAGGTGTGATTCACTTACGCGTGTATTTGACGTATTTTAGAGTGTGTTCTGAGATGAATCTCTAAAATTTAAAGGTATTTTTAAATTTTCAAAAATGTCTGGTAGAGATCCATAAGGTTCATTAAAAAAACTCTTATGTTTATTAGGGTAAATCTAACTGCTTCGGCCCATTTTTATGGGCTTACAATATGTATTTAAGGACCAACCCACTTAGTTGGAAAAACAAGGAATAGAGATTATTTTTCCTTCTTTTTTATTTTATTCTTTTTAATATGATTTTTATGATTAACTTCTAATGTCCTATGGGCACATGTTAACATAATATCAATAGATAAAACTCTGATACAATTTTATTTTTCATATTATAAATACATTTTTTGTTCTATCATTTTGAAAGATTCTTTTCGATTGAAGCAATCACTAATTGTCTTCCTTGCACTCAATGCATCAGACGCTTTTTCCATGCATTACAGTTTTTTGAATCTTTCCAAAATTTCCATCGGATTGTATTGCAGAACCTTATCTCTCATTCAATGTGTCAACAATCTATTGACTCTTCTTTGATTCCCCCATTACCGAATTTTTGTAAACAATTAACCAAAACAAACCGGTGAGAATTCATTTCCCTAAATTCTTTCTCTATCTTCATTATCCTCAATCTCACAATTCTTTCCATCCACCATTAATCACAAACTCAACTTCTTGAATATCTTGAATCTTGCTCCTCATTTCTCCATCCTTAAATCCAAAATACCCTAAAAATCATTATTATCTAATCCCCAACACCATAAATCTTCGTCCACCTTCATATACTTTCTTTCTTTTCACCTAGACACCATCATGCGATATCTTCAGCCACCTTCAATCAACCCAAAAACTCAACCTTCTTCATACTAATTCCTCAATAAACCCAGAAAACCCAACAACTCCTCCCTTTTCAAACCTCAACACAAAGGATTTTCAGTCACCCTCATTGACTCTATTCAATTCAACCGCAAAACCCACATTCAAGATTTTCAGAAACCCTCTTTCAAACCTAAAATTTAATCTTTACAACTTCGACCTAGAAACTTTTTCCGAAAACATTTATCATCTTCAACCCTTTTTATCTCATCTTCATCAACCTCTTCTCAAACCTTAATTTTCAACTCGTTTCTTTTATCCACTCATCTTCAGTATTTTTATTTCTACTATCATTTTGCTTTCTTTTTTTCTCAAATTAAATCTTTGGTTTTTTCTGTTTCATTTTCTTCCATGGCCACATTTTCTTCGAAGGTGGCGAGGTTACAAACCCACAAGCATCAACTTGAATTGATTTAAATGGAGGGAAAATAGACAATCAACGATTTCACAACGAGAATTACTCGGTTGATGAACCAAGTAAAAGCATGTGGAAAAACGACCATGAAGTAATATATTTTCGTGAAAATCTTACGTTCTTTAACGCCAAGATTTTACAATGTGCTTGTAGCGATTGAGTTACCGAAGGATCTTGCAAAAATGAGCAAAAAGGGGCTACAAATCTCTCTTGAGGCTCCTAAGAAAATGATGGGGGAGAGAAATAATGATAAGGAAAATGTGAAGATCGCTTTGCAAGCTCGTTTCAATGAGAAGGACAAGATATAGAAATAAAAATGGCCCATGAAGAGTATAGAGAATTTTCAAAATTTTGGTGGAATAGAGTCCCAAAGTTCCAAGATTTTGACTTGTCAAAGGGGTGAGATCATTTTTAACAAAAATGAAAGTCAATGAAACTTTAGAGGTGAAAGGAAGAGGATTGGAAAAAGTAAGGTACAATGCTTTAATTATCAAAGGTTCAGTCATTTTGGAAGAGAGTGCAATGCAAACAAGAAGGAACCTCAAGGGGATGAAGCTAATGCTGCAAGACAGGAATATGATGACGAGAATACACTCTTGGTCATGATCACGGAAGGTGAATGCAACAACAACAAGTTGTGAGACAACATCATCAACAATTTTAGAAATGCTGCAGAAACATGTTGTAATCGGTTACGTAAAAGTTGTAACTGATTACAAGCAAAAGAAAATTTCATGATGAGTACAAAAGGTTTAGTTCAATGCAACGAGGAATGGTATTTAGATTCTTGATGTTCTACTCATATGACGGGAAGGAAATATTAGTTTTTTAAAATCAATTGTGCCATGAAGAACAAAGTGAAGTTCGCGGATGACGTCACTCTAGCAGCCGATAGGATCGATGATGTTTTGACCATGAGAAGGGATAATGGACATTCCTTGATCAAAATTGTATTGTATATTCCAGGAATTAAATGTAAACTTCTAAGTATTGACCAATTGCTTGAGAAGGGTTACAAGATTCACATGGAAAACAAAGGGCTATGTGTTATGGATGCAAACGAGGTTTTGGTCCTTAAAGCTCATATAAATGCCAATAGAACTTTCAAGGTTGAGTTGAAGGTTATGAAGCATAGATGTCTTCCTAATGTGGTGAGTCGAGAAGAGTGAATATGGCACTATCATCTTGGGCATCTCAATTTCCGAGATCTCAATGCATTGCAAACAAATGGAATGGTAACGTGGTTGCCTTTGATCAATATACCAGCTGAAATTTGTGAATAATGTATGCAAGCAAATCAACAAAAGGGTAAGTTCAGTAAGGATGTTAGTTGTAGAACCAAGAATCAACTTGAAGTGGTGTATTCTGATGCGTGTGGACCGATGCAAGTAGATTCCATTAGTGACAATAGATATCATGTCACATTCATTGATAATCATAGTAAAAAACTATGGACATACCCAGTCAAGAGAAAAGGTGAGGTATTTAAAGTTTTTAAGAAGTTCATGTCCATTGTTAAGAACCATAATAGTCACAAGCTCAAAGTTCTCAAAATGGATAGCGAGGCAAATATGTCTCAAAACAATTTGAGAGGTTTTGGATCAAGAAGGGATAATACATGAGGTTGTACTACCTTATACACCGCATCAAAATGGTGTTTTTGAAAGAAAAAGTTGATTGGTTATGAACATGATAAGAAGCATGTTAAATGGGAAGCACTTGTCGAAAAAGTTATTGGGAGAAGCGGTATCCACATCTACCTATTTGTTGAATAGGTATCCAACAAAGAAGCTTGAGAAAGTAACACCAGAGGAAGCATGATTTGGAACCAAACCGAATTTGAACAATTTGAGAATTTTTTGTTCCGTAGTGTATCGACATGTTTTGGGGTAACTTAAAAAGAAGTTGGATGATAAAGGAGAGTTTATGATACATGTAGGTAGAGGTGGAAAAATGGACTCGGTCCGTTAGGCATGTCCGTTTTGCCCATACTTTAGTTCAGGGCGGGCCAAGGGTTTAAGCCTTCACCTTCTAATGTGTCCACCCCGCCCTGCCCCATTTTCTTCACGGGATTTTGAGGGCATGAGCATTTACATAAAATTTTGCGGGGCTGACCTAGGTTTTAGGCCCACTTTCTCAACTATGCCTGCCCCACCCTGTTTTTTTGCAGGCTTTTGCAAGACGGGCCTAAACGGGGCGTGCATGCTCGTTTGTCACCCCTACTTATAGGGTATCACTCTACCAGTGGTTACAAGTTGTATGATGCAGTGAGCAGGAGGATTGTGATCAGCTGAAACGTTATTTTTTATGAGGTCAAGTTGCTGTTGTAATTTCTGCAGAGTTGTAACCAGTTACAGCATTGGAATTTAATTTCTGCAGAGTTTGATAGTGCATAAATTCCCGTCTCTGAAGCTCTAATTGAATAAAATGTGATTAGATTAACAAGGCCATGATATTTTCCTCAAAGACTCTAAGATTGTGAGTTATTCTGAGACAATAAAGTAAATGATGATGGTGATTACGTCCATTTTGCACTTATGGCCGAATCCGAACCTATTAAAGCATATGAGCCATTAAGTACCCAAAATGGATTTGTGCTATGAAGGAGGAGCTGGAATCTATTGAGAAGAAAAATACTTGGGAATTGATTGATCTACCGAACGAGAAGAAGCCGATTG